CCGCTCAAGCCGCTGCTCAACCCACATCCACGTGGGCGGCCTTGTACGCAAGAGGTTCTGAACAGGGGGAGTTGTAAGTAAGAAGATACAAAATGAATTGATATCTTTTTTGTTTCCTTTTGTTTTTTTTCGCTTTTGTGCTCTGATAACTTTGTGACAATATATACATTATACATATATATGTTTTGAGGAAAGCAGCTTAGCATATATAGTTCAAAGAAAACGATAGTAAATTGTAAAAAGTGTATGGACCAAAAAAAAAAAGGTTAAAAAAAAATTGGTAGAAAATGCGAAATGGACCAACAGAGAAAAGGGAAAAAAAAAAAAAGGGWAGATTGGGTTTTGGGCCTCGCGCCACCACTGACCAAATGTGAAAATGACAGAAACTATCGTGGGAGTATCTTTCCACGTTCTAGAGAGAGATACATTCTGTTTTCCATACAGAATGTATTTCTCTCTAGAACGTGGAAAGATACTCCCACCATAGTCCATGTAGCGAAATTGAACACCCCTTCAGGTAACTGTTGATAATAAATGGTGGAGGTTAGAATCCTGCCTGAATCTTTTTTTCTTTCTTTTTAATGAATAATTTGGACCATTGTTCGATTCATGCGTGTCATCCTTTTTTTTTTTAACAAAAAAAGTCACCTTTTTTTACTCGGGGCCCAGTGCCCAAGGCAAATACACAATTCATCAAATGCAGAGGTTGCAAGGAACAACGTTTTCTCACGCACCCCTGTGTAAAGAATGGACAAGACGACAGAAAAAGAAAAAAAAAACATGCGTTTAATCCTTAGACGGGGGCCAACATTTTCTCCGTATCGTTCCAATTTTTTATTTTTTTTTTAATAAAAAAAGTCGTTCCAATTTTGATGGATGTCGGGAAGGGACTTTTCTCTTCCCTTTTCCCAACAATACAGACGACCTTTCTTTTTGTATTTACATGACAACCGTTTCTGATTACCTTGGTCCTGTTTTGGTATGCTTATGCATTTTGTCGTGTTTTTTCAACTTTTTTATGCATTTGTTCAGACGCCTGATAGCTGTTGTCGCACCCACTTACCGAAAAAAAAATTCCCATAAATCAATAAATCCCAAAATAAATAAATAAATAAATAAATAAAGAACACCGAAGCCACTTTGCAGCACCCAGCACCGACTGGCTGACTCGTTGCCCTCGTTACCTTTTGCTGCATCATATCTATCATCAAACAACTTTTATCGAATAGTACACACGGCTGGCTAACGAAGGATAAGAGAGCAGACACACACACACACACAGGCGGGGAGCCAGCGCACCCCCTTGCTCCCCTTCCCCACCTGCTGAAATCAATTTGTCTGTTCTGTTCATCTGATTCCGTCAGGGTTTGAACTTGTGTCTTGTCTGTTTAGGATCAATAGCCTACCTGAAAGGGGGCAGTGGGGCGTGGCCGGGAGGCACGGGGTGTGAAGTGGTGTGACGTGGCTGGCAGGCGTGGCTGAAAGAAGAAGAAGGACCTGGCGCTTGCGTAATGGCGCCTCCTCCCTCCGTTGGGGAGGCGCAGGGCAGAGCAGGCGTAGGGGGGGAGTCGTTTTTGATGGAGAGGGGGGAGGAGGGAGGGGAATCGTGGACGCAGAAGACGAGGAGTAGCATGAGAAGAAAGTCGCCAACCCAACACGCAGAGGATGGGAGAAGATCGACCATTGCTCCTCCTTCTCCTCCTTCTCCTTCTCCTTCTCCTTCTCGGCCTGCTGCTCCTGCTGCTGCTCCTGCTGCTGCTGATGATGATGGCACTGCGCGCCGTAATAAGTCGAGAAGCTCAAGGCAACTGTTCTCTCTTGCGGAAGTAGCGAGGCACGACATGCCGGACGATTGTTGGTTGATCATTCGTGGCAAGGTCTATGATGTTACTACTTGGGTCCCGAAACATCCAGGTGGCAGTTTGATCTATGTTCGCGCTGGAAAAGACTGCACCCATCTATTTGATTGCTACCACCCGCTCTACGTGAGGGGCATGCTGGACAAGTACTGCATAGGGGAGGTGGAGAGGAGAGAGGAGGAGGTTTCCCGACGGAAGAAGGAGATGCTAGAGTACATCGATGACGACTCCCAGACCAAGGAGGATGATCAAGAGGAGGAGTTTTACACAGTGATGAAGAGAAGGGTGGAGGCGCTCCTGAGAGAGAAGAAGATCAATCCACGTGTCTCTCCAGCGATGTACGTGAAGTCGGCCCTTATCTTGTTAGGATACATGTTGTGCTATTACGGGACGTTCTTCTTCTTCACAGATCGCGACATGTTCGTTGCCGCTGTGCTCTGCGCCATTGGGATGGGTTTCTTGATGGCCGAGGTCGGGGTTTCAATTCAGCACGATTGCAATCACGGAGCGTACGCCCCGTGGCAGCCCCTCTGTTACCTCTTGGGCACGTCGCTGGATATCGTCGGCGCCAGCAGCTTCATGTGGAAGCAGCAGCACGTGGTCGGCCACCATCAATACACGAACGTGGACGACTTTGATCCCGACATCCGAGTCAAGGATCCTGACGTCAGACGCGTGACGACCAAGCAGCCCTGGAGGGCCTATCAGTCTTATCAACACATCTACCTCGCGCTCTTGTACGGGGTGCTGAGTCTAAAGAGCGTGTTTATCGATGACTTCAGCGCATATTTCTCTGGACAGATCGGTAATGTCAAAATCTCAAGGATGACGACGGCGGAAACGGTTATCTTTTTTGGCGGGAAGGTGTTATACGTGCTTTACATTCTTGTTCTGCCATTGCTGTGCAGCCCTCACTCAATAGACAAGCTATTGGGTCTATACGTGCTGGCTATGCTAGTCTCTGGATGGACGTTGGCGTTCATGTTCCAAGTCGCGCACATCGTGGAAGACGCACAGTTCCCTGAAGCAGATAGATCAGGGGATCGATCCAAGGTAAGGATGGGGTGGGCGGCGGCACAAGCTGCCACTTCAACGGGGTTTAGCCATGGTTCAATGTTCTGGACCCACATCAGTGGGGGACTCAACTATCAGCTTGAGCACCACTTGTTTCCGGGGATGTGCCATCTTCACTATCCAATCATCCAACCTATAGTTCGTGCCACGTGTAAGGAGTTTGGTGTGCCTTATCATGCTTATCCTTCCTTCTGGGCGGCATTGCGTGCGCATTTCGCTTGGCTGCGCAAGGTCGGGATGCAGGGGATGGAATGGCGACTGGCAGGCTGAGGAATATCTATAATTTTTGTGTGTGTTGGGGGGGGGGGGCTCCTGCCGTGCGTGCCTACCTACCTAACCTACTCCTCCAGCAGAGCCTGAAAATCCCCTCTTCCTCCTTCGCTCTTTCGTGTCCTCTCCTCTACCCCCCTCCAGCAGATCTTTTCTTCATCATTCTTCACACTCCCTCGTCCCTCTTCTCGTATTTATTTATTTATCCTCCCCTACTCTCCCATCTTCCTCCTCCCCACATCTCCACTCGGACTGGCCGGCTATCTCTACTATATGGACTTTTCGCTGTGTCTAGCTGTGTGAGTGATTCCGTCTGCTCGCCACATGTCGTCTTTCACCACATTGGGGTTGACCGAACGCCGTCAGCTCCTTTACCCTCCTGCTCAGGTTCCTTTTCTTTCTCCTCCTCCTCGTCCTCTTCCTCCTCCTCCTCCGCCTCCTCTCTTTCCTCTCTTCTCCTTCTCGGTTTTGTCGATCACGACAGCTTCCACGTTTTCTTGGACTGTCGTCCGTTTATTCTGTCTGACAGAAGTGCATTGTATTTGACTCCGTGTGGTGTCATTGAGGGGAGGGGGTCCTCTGATCCGCCCTCTCTCACCTTCTGTTCTTTCTGTTTGTTTGTTTGTTTGTTTGTTTGTTGGTTTTCTTGTTCTTGTCTGTTCTTGTCTGTTCTTGTCTGTTCTTGTCTGTTCTTGTCTGTTCTTGTCTGTTCTTGTCTGTTCTCTCTGTGTGTGTGTGTGTGTGTGTGTGTGTGTGTGTGTGTGTGTGTGTGTGTGTGTGTGTGTGTGTGTG